CCCTCAAGGGCAATTCCCAAACATGGCTCCATCTTCTTTCTCTTCTTCTTTGTTGAATTCTAGAGAGAGTATGTGTGTAGATCTTGAGATGTGTTCTTGGTGCCTCCACTCTTCTCTTTTCTTCTAACCCTAATCTCTAACTTTTCTAGAAGAGAAAATAAAATTATAATGTAAAAATAAAATGATAAAAGGCTCTCCTAAAAAATGGTTCAATTCTCTTTAAATACAAGGTCCTTTTCTTAGTCACTAAGTCAGAAATACAGCCCAAAAATATCTAATCCCGTAACTAAATGGTAAGTGGAGTTCGGGCGCGCGGGAATAAGATAGCTCGCTGCCAATGCATTTTTGATCGATCAGATTTTTCTTCGATCGATTAGAGTTGGTTGGATCGATCAAACTTTTTTTCAATCAATTAGAGTTTGATCGATCTCACTTTTCTCCAATCGATCAGACTTGGTAGTTTTTCAGCATCAGCCTCCTTTTACTCCAAATCAACCTCTTTTTGCTCCAGATTCTCACTAAGACTTAGTTTGACTCCAAAAAGGCCTTAAGAACCCATTTTTAGCCCGTTTTAACTTTATTGACCTAAAAAGGGAAATAACACAAAATTAGACTAAAACGGTAAAATAAGATAGAATAAGGTCCTAGAATACTCAAGGTTAAGGGTTTTAAATACACACTTTTCAGCACTCATCACACCCCTAAACTTAAATATTGCTAGTCCCTAGCAATGAACTACAAAGTAAAGGAGTGAAATGAACAACTAAATAACTTTGAACTAAAAAGTAATGAAATGATAGCGCCACTTTCGTAGGGAACACGATTGCATTTATGGTATGCAACAAGCCTTTTAAACCCCTAGGTTACCCCTAGTGGATAAGTGAAGTCTTGTGATGGTTTCCAGAAATGATACTCATAAACATTAAGCTCATTCTCATAAAAGAGGCACCAATATTGTAAACAAGCATTGGGAGAAAACTACCACAAGTATGCAATTTTTCAACCATTTCCAAGCAATCTCCCAAAATCTCAACATCAAGCAAACAAGTATGGTCCTCCACACATCAAGAAAAAAAAAATAAAGTAAAAACACGATCAAAAGAGTACTAATCCTAATCAATTCCACAAATCCGACGTTGCCAAATCAAATTAACAAATCCCCGACAACAGCGCCAAAAACTATGATTGTCGTCCTACCATAAACATAAGAGTATGCATTAAGGCGAGGGCTAAGAGTTTTACATTTATACAAGCCACTACTACCTTTCACTATAAATATAGTTAGGGTGAGTAGGGATCGTCCCAAGGGACTGTGAGGATCGAGCAATATCGTGGAATCACAATTAGGGCTAGTAGGTCGAGTGATCAAACAATTGATTGGTTGGTTGATTAGAGAGCAACTAAATTAAACTAAATAATAGCAAAAGAGTGCAATTAAGAGTAAGTAAGAGAGAGAGGAGTCTTGGGGTTTAGAGATCACCACCAAGCAATGCATTTCTATATTATTGACAAGTAATTAATGAGGGCAATTAGGGTGTTGCAATATTAGTGTGTGTGTATTTGGTTGATTCAACAAGCAAGGATGACTAGTTAAGCATGTATTGTCTAAACATCATGTGAAAGGCACAATATATCTAAGCAATGAAGCATATATTGTCTAAACAGCATGTGAAAGGCACAATAAATCAAAACAAGTCATTAATCCTTTCATTAGGCTCACAATCCAAATACAACACAAAATTAGAGACATATGCTACTTGTATTCAAAAGCTTGGAACATCAAACAACAAGCATGGATTTTCCTCCCATTTAACACTACACAACAACTACACTACATCTAAGCTACTAGCATGAAAATAAACTAGGGGAGAGGCACACTCCATCAAGAGATAAGCATGAACCATCAAGAGAATCACAAAAGCATTCCTTTAAGCACTATGTTTTGACAATCTCTAAATCCATGGCATCAACACACATAGACATGCATCAACAACATAAAATCTAGAGACAAGAACATGAATATCAATTCTAGCATACATAGACATATGGATAGAATGAAATGATCAATTGGAAGCATTAAACCACACAAATCATTGATTAAACAAGATCTATATATATCAAAGTGTCAAAACATTAATTACAATACTAATCCCTCAATAATACACAAGATTAAGATATAGAAAGCATGCTTGGGGCTAACTCTAGCCCCAAGAGGATGTCTAGCCACTCATGGTGAGGATGCTCCAACCCTCAAGGGCTAACTCCATGGAAGAGGTTTGCTCCTTGTTGATGAAGATCTCCAATGGTGTCTCTAACCTCCTCCTCCTCTTAACTTCCTCTCCAAGAGATGATGTCAAAAATAATGTTGGCTCCTCCTTGAAAAAGCTATCCTTATCCTTATATAGGTAGGTCAAAATGACACCCAAATTGAGCTGGGGTCCTACACACAATATTCCCTAATGATTGGATAAAGGGCAACTTTCAATGAAATAGAATTTTAACTTTTTCGCACTAGAGGAAGTTCGATCGATCGAAGGAAGTGAGATCGATCGAAAGTAAGTGAGATCAATCGAACTTAGGCTGGATCGATCCATCTGGCTGAGCTTTTTAGAAAAAGACAAATTTGAGATATTTATGGGAGATATTTATGGGAAAAGGACAAAAGTAGTTGGTGGGTGGTACAGCCATGGATAGGATCAATCATTTGGATAAGGACAAAGGTGTTCGATCGATCGAAGAATGATGTTAGATTGATCGAACTTTTGGACTTAAGTGCTTTGGGTCAAGGCTTGGATCTATCTTGAAGTGCTGAGATCGATCAATGTTCGGTCGATCAAACCTTGGACTTGGATCGATCGAACTTGCTGCTTTGCATTATTTTGCTTCTTTCTTCCTTCACGTTGCTTTTTTCTTTGATTAATCCCATAATTGCTTCAATTAAGCTCTTATTTGGCTGACTTAGCTTATTTTCGGGATAAGTGCCTGAAAATAGAAATAATACAAAATCAATCTAAAATAGTAAAGTAAGATAGATAAAGGTACTAGAATGCCTAAGCTTAAGGGGTTTAAATATACACTTTTCAGTGCTAATCACACCCCCAAACTTAAATATTGCTAGTCCCTAGCAATGAACTAGAAAGTAAAGGAATGAAATGAACAACTATACAACTATAACTAGAAAGCAATAAATGGATAACGCCACTTTCGTAAGGAACACGATTGCACTTAGCACATGCAATAAGCCTTTTAAACCCCTAAGTTACCCCTAGTGGATGACTGAAGTCTCGTGAGGGTTTCTAGAAATGGTACCCACAAACATTAAGCTCATTTTTTTCAAAAGAGGTACCAATATTGCAAACAAGCATTGGGAGAAAACTACCTCAAGTATGCAATTTTTCAACCCTTTCCAAGCAATCTCTCAAAATTTCAACATCAAGCAAGCAAGTATGGTCCTCCCCATATCAAGAAAATGATCATGCAAATCAAAACAACTCTAGAATTCTTTTGAGTGGACCGGTATCAATGTGCTGCTATCTTAGCCAACTAAAGAATTAATCACATCCTTACCCTCAAACTAGCACACAAATCTAGTACCGATCATCAAGACAAAAAGTGGACCTTTTATTAAAGCTTATTGTTCTAGGCACGCTTATTCTTTTCACTCATTTTTTTTTTTAAAGGATTAAAGATGGAACTATAGTGTAATGTGTTGATCTATTAAGCTTTCTAGCGAGTCATGAGATTGAACGTTAGGTCAATGACTCCCAAACCAGACGACTTTAGGGCACTAGGTGTTCAAACACCCCTACGGACTTACAAGCTCAAATCAACTAGGCTACAAATCAAGATAACAACCATCTAATCATTTCTCACTTCTCACCTTTTGGGAGAAGTTCTCACTTTTTATTGCTTTTTTTTTTTTTTTTAGAGACAATTATTAACCTAGAGTTTGGGCCCTCCACCTTTCGGCGCTAGAAGTTCAGTGCTTGATGAGGCTAGAATCCCGGCTACTTAGTGAAAAGGGGTTGTTATCCACCTTTATCAAGAATGAAAGCTTTCAATGCACTACTAGCTCAATTGGGATATAACCAATTCAATAATTAACAAAACATGTACCCCACAAATGAATGCTAGTGTGCGCATGTGCTAGTGTAGAGGACTAGAGTGAATCTCAAAACAATCACAAAATCAAGATGATGTGGACCACAAGTGCAAACAAGATATCAATCTTTCAAAAAATTTACTCCTAAATGGCATTCATAAGGCATACAAGGAGTATTGGACTGTCAAGTCAAGCAATTTTTAAATTTTAAGCAATATAGTCCTCAAAAGATCAAAATCATAGCTAAGTATGGACCAATCATAGAAATATCCCTCAAATACACGAGTCATGCTAAAAGTTTAAATTTAAAACTATCACTGTAGAACACCATTCCCCCCAAACTTAAATGGCACAATGTCCTCAATGTGAAAGAGAACAAAGGAAAGAGTATACCAGTGCAACTAAGCAAGAATGATCGGGACTGAAGTATCTAAAGTGGGTGGCATAGCCCCCCCAAACTTGGAATGAACTGTGGTCCTGCAAATTGGCACTTGGATAAACTTATCAAATAACAAAATGGGATAATCAGTGTATAGTGAACATGCAAGTGTAAATGGGATAAATAGATAATGAAATGAGAAAGGTATAAGGGTGGTCCTGAAAATTGGGTAACACTCTCTCACTGAAGTCACTGTGATGCACCTGATGGAGTCAAACATACAGATATGAGAATACAATCATATGACATCCATAGCAAAAATAGATATATAAAATAGAGAAAGTGCAGGTACAACAAAAATATCAAAGCCGACAGACCGGCTGTAAAAATAATACAGTGACAATAATAAAATATCAAAATGAGAGAGGGATCATAAGATAGAAAAGAGTGGGAGCTCAAGAAGATGAGGTAGGACGGGCAGGTCTAGCTCCGCGGATGTCTCTGGATAAATCTCTGAACATGGTCGCGACATCCTTGCAGAAGGTAGCGAACTCCGCTCTGTGGGCCGTGAGGTTAGCTCTGATGGCAACAACAGCGTCCTCGAGCATCTGCAGACACACTCTAAAGCCGGGGGTCAAGTCTAGTATGGAAGAGTCAGAAGACAGCTCCTGGGTCTACTCCTGCTCGTGGATAGGTGACCCGGCTGGAGAATACTGAACTGCGCCATCCACTGAGTGCTCCAAGTTAATGTCTATATCAATGTCATCATGCTCAGCAATTGGATCAACTAGTGCATCGTCCGCTGCCGGAGCTACTGCTGCTGTCTCTGCTGGTGTCGGGGCTGCCTATGCTGCTGCCTCCTCCTCTAACTCCAGCTCTGCAGCTGCCAGTACGACATGGATCTGCAGGCAAGTGATAATAGCCTTGTAGCTCTTGTCCCAGTCCTTCTTGAGGAAGTGATAGGAACCTCTCTCGGGGTTCTCCTGCGGGTGGATGGGATAACGCTGGTCAATGAGAATCTGGGTGATGAGGTGGCTGAATGGAAAAGACTTGGCCCTTCCGGGGGCCTCTTTGCTGACATACTCATCGTAGGGCTTCCTCATCACGCTCTAGATAAGCGCAGGAATAGACACCCAGTGGCCGGTATAGAAGGCGTACAGGGTTGCTAGATAGTCGCCCCGCCTCTAAATCTTGTGTCCTGCCATGTATATGTTTCGGTAGAGCACCGAATCTATAAACCACAGGTCATCTGGCAAGAATGTCCGGGTGGCGAAGGTCTCGCCACCGGCATGGTGACCTGTGAGAAAAATCGCCATATCGGCGTAAGAAGGCCTATGGAGCCTGGGATAAGTCTCCTAAAGCTCTGGTGGGCACCGATGTGGACAGCGAGTTGAACAGGCCAGAGTATCCCCTGTAATGGTGATCTCATGGCCATCGATAGAGGTGATAAGCTCGGCTGTAGTGCGCGGCAATGGTCGGAGGTTCTGGTAGAACAACCGTACTAGTCACGGGTAGATCGGCTCTATGACTGGGGCAAGAATAGCTGAGAGGCCCCGCTGAATGATGTCCTGATAGGCAGATCGAGTCAGCACCGATCTGAAGAAGAATCCGGTGTCGAATGCTAACTCGTGCTCGATAGTCATGTGTGCATATCTAGGCACGAGCCTATCGCGCTGTAGATGAGCTGGCTGAACAGGTAGAGCCGGCTGAGCAGGCTGCTCAGCTCCTCTATGCGGTGGAGATGGTGATGGAGTGAATGCTGGACGAGCTAGCGACTGGGGTGGAGTAGGGTGTAATGGCTCCTCTGTATGAGAGGCCTGCGCAGTCTCCCTAGTCCGCTGTCAGACTCTCCTCTGTGTGTGGTCGGGACTAAGATCACGGACATGAGATGGACCGGCCCCGTTGTTAAGTCTGCGTCTGGTGCCGTGACGGTGTCTACATGCTACAGTCTTAACGCGAGCCATAGTTTGCAAATAGAAATTCAAGAGTTAGTGCCAGCGTATATAGAATATAAGGCACAATATAGAAACATGTATGTCAAATAAGATAGACAAAACAAAACATCGCATGATTTTATGCAAGTGGCAGAATATGAAACATGCCAAACAATGTAAGTATGAAATGCATCCAATGTGGAATATCACAGGCATTGGGCATATATAGGTAGCATGAACGTAAGATAAGATGAATGGAGTGTGTATATGAGATCTATGAAATTCAATCGATCATAAAAAGAAATGAGATCGATCACAAAAGTTGGATCGATCGAAGGTTGAGTTGGATCGATCGCAAATATTCGATCGATTATAAATTTGTTCGATCGATCGAACAGTGCGACAATGAAACCTAACAGTCACAGATCTATGACTTTTGAAGCATAGGGCCCACACAAATGAGTTCGTGGGCCCTCCAACAACACAAATGAATCCTAATTGCACTCCAAACGTGGCCCAACATCCAAATCTAACCAAAATCCCCAAAACATGTTCACATATATACACATATATATATACAAAGACATGGATGCTCAAGCTTGGAGAATGGCAGATTTAACATGAAAGCAACACGATTATGTCATTTAGAAACAGCTATTGATGCATGATAGTTCAAATCCATGGAGGGTGTGTCGGAACTTACCTCAAGAGAATGAGAGAAGTGGAGAACGAACTTGTGAAGAACTGAGATGAAGAAGATGAAGATGAACTAAGATTCAAGGTGCTTGGATCTCGCCGCAGTGGTGCCAAAGCTAGGGGAAATGATTTGCAGTAGAAGGGAATGAGAGGCTAGGGTTTGATGTGTTGAGATCGATCCAAATGATCTATCTCAAGACCCTTGGATCTGTTTTTAAAAAAAATATTTTCCGACTAGTTCGATCAATCGAAGATAAGTTGTGATCGATCGAACTTTGATGAACTCCTTTCAAAGTATTTTTGATTTTTTTTTTAAATTTGCAAAAATAAAATTAAAAATTGGAAAATAAAGTAAAACAAAATATTTTTAATTTGTTTTAAAAATATTTTTTTTCTTTTTTTTTTTGAATTTAATTAATTAAAAACTAAATAAATTAAAATATTTTTGAATTTTTGAAAATTTGTTGAAAATTGAAACAAAATAAAATGAGAGTGAAAATAGAATAAAATAAAAATGAAAATATTTTTGGATTTTTGAAAAGTTGAAAAGTCATACTAAAGTTAAAATAATGAAATGAAGATTTCTGATCGATCGAAAAAAGAGTTCGATCGATCAGACAGAGAGCAAAAATATGCAGGTTTTTGGTTCAAAAATCTGGCTAAGTGTTGGAACATGAGATAGATCGAACTGGGAAGTTGGATCGATCGAACAACTTCTTGATCGATCTTGGAATGTTTCGAACGATCAGACAGAGAGTTGAAATATGCAGGTTTTTGCAGGCTCAAAATTTTTCTAAGTGTTGAGTCCTAAGATCGATCGAACTTGGAAGTTGGATCGATCGAAGGTCTCTTGACCGATCTTGGAGTTAGTTTGAACGATGGGATAGAGAGGTGATTTGGATGCAGGTTTCTGCAGGTTAAAAAATTTTCTAAGTGTTGAGTGCAATCCACAGTTCAATCGATCGAACTTTGCCAAATGCTCAATTATGACATAAAAGCTTATGCAATCCTCACCAAAGTTCCTTGAAATGCATATGAACCAAAAACAAGTATCTAAACTTCGCAAGAAATGAAATGAAAGATAGAAATGGGGGAGGAATAGGGTTTTGACACCCTACGAATACTTTTGCTAGTCTTTAATGTCTCTAGCAAGACATTGGGCTCTTTTAGCCTGGATCAAAGATCTTATAATGCATCCCCTCCTTGTTGGGGTGATAAATGCTTTGAACTTTACCCAACAAATGGTCCTTTGAAGAACTTGTTGGATCAAGCTCAAAAGAAGCTTTTAATCCTTTATCTATGCCATCAAAACTTTTGGGCTTCCATGCCCTTTCAAATCAAGAATTTGAAACCACACTTTGAGAATGCAAGGTTGAAGATGATCCTTTAGAAGTTTTGCTTTTACACAAAAGCTCATTTCCTTGGCATTGAAGATCATGACATTCATCTACAATATTGAGCTCTCCTTCATACTTGTCAAGTGAATTGGGTGTGGGATTAAAGATATTCAACTTCACCTTCATGTGGCCAAATGAAATCTTCATTATCCCCGTCCTACAATTTATGTTGGCATTAGCGGTTGCCAAGATAGGACGGCCAAGGATAATGGGAATTTGGCTCTTAGGATTGGGAACCGGTTCCATGTCTATGACAACAAAATCAACCGGGAAGAAGAATTTATCAATCTTGATCAAACATCCTTAATGACACCCTTAGGTTTCTTAATGGATCGGTCGGCAAGTTGCAAAACTACCGACGTCGGTTTCAATTCACCTAGGCCCAATTTAACATAGACCGAATATGGAAGAAGGTTAACACTTGCTCCTAAGTCAATAAGTGCCCGATTAATGATATGATCACCAATGATGCATGATGTAGTGGGTGAACCGGGGTCCTTAAATTTTGGAAAAAGTGTTATGTTGCAAAATTGAGCTTACTTGCTCTGTCAAAACCACTTTTCTTGGTGCTTGGCTCTTGTTCTTCCGCTTTTGGGTGCACAAGTCTTTCAAGAATTTGGCATAAGCCGGAATTTGCTTGATTGCATACAATAGTGGAAGGTTAACTTTCACTTGCCTAAACATTTCCATGATTTCATTGGTTTTTGACTTTTGCTTGTCTTTTGAAATGGATCCTTTTAAGGCATCCAGAAATGGAACCTTAGGTTCAAATACTTTTTCAAAATTTTCTTTTGAACTCTCTTCAACACAAGAAGTTTTCAAATCATTTTTCAAATAAACCTTTTCAACATCATTTTTCAAAGCTTCTTTGTCAAACGCATCTTTTAAGACTTTTTCATCTACAAGGTCATATAGATGCAATGAGGAGGAATGGGATGTGAAACGGGACGGGTGACAACTTGAGGTTGCACCAGTTCACTCTCTTCATTGGATATTTCAACTTGATTGTTCACAACTCTACCACTCCGCAAGCTAGTCACCACGTTAACATGTTCAATGGTATGGCCTTCCGATGAGGAATGGGTTTCCACAACACATTGTTGTTTAAGTTGGGCATTAATGGGCATTTTTCCCTTCTCTTGCATTGGGAGTGCTTACTATTTGCCCTACTTCGGTTTCTAGCTTTGCAATAGATTGAGAGTGAGAATGAAGCAATTGAGTGTTAGCCTCAAGAGTCCCCAAAGCATTTAAAACTTTTTCTTCAAAGGCGGGACTTCTAGTGTTTCCTTGGGAATAAGATTGGTTGGGAAAATGAGAATTAGTAAATTGATTTCCTTGTGATTGATAAGGTCTATAACCTTGGGATCCTTGGTTTTGAATTGGAGGTGGAATGTACTTTCCTTAGAAACCGCCTTGGGAAGGGTTTGAGCCCTCTCCTTAGTTTTTCCAAGAGAAATTAGGTTGATTCCTCCAACTTGGATTATAATGAGTACCATAAGGATTGTTCCCTTGGTTTACAAAAGCTGCATTGACTTGTTCATTAGGTTCATTATGCACTTGTCCATGAAGACAATGAGAAGTAGAATGAAGAACACTAGAACAAGTCATACATGTTTCATTTGATGCACGATGAGAATGGTTAGGAAAAGAAGATACTTGGTTCGCCGAGTTTTGGTTAATCAAAAATTAATCAAACCTTTGAGACAAAGACTTCATTTCGGCGGCTATTTCATTTAAATGTTCGACTTGATGTAAGCCTACACTCTTCCTACCTTGTGAATTTCTACCAATCTTGGATGATAGTGTTCTATGCAAAAAAATTTCACTCATGTTTTCATAAAGACGCCACACGTCATCCTCATGCCTATCAATGTAAGAGACACCCATGGAAGCATCAACCATACCCTTATAGTTGTCCAATAAGCTCTCAAAGAAATATTGAACTAATTGCCATTTGGGTATGTCATGATGTGGACACTTCCTAAGCAATTCATTGAAGCGTTCCCATGCCTCATGAAATGTTTCTCCATCCCCATGTGAAAATTCTCGAATTGAGGTTCTCATGGCATTGGTCTTAGAAACCGGATAGTACTTCTTTAAAAACTCTTGTTGCATT